GTGTCCAGCTTTTCATCCACCAGTACCCCAAGTCCTTCTCCTCAGGGCTGCTCTTGATCCATTCTCTGCCCAGCCTGTACTTGTGCTATAGAATTTCTTGCTACAGTGAAGACCATTTGTCAAATGGCAAGGGATTGGCAACGTGCTATGAAAATGATCAATTCTGAAAGATTCTTTTATGGAAAAACCATTCCCACCCAGGAAATTAATTGGTCATTCCCTCATGTTTTCAGTCCTGTTCCACGTCTGCAGTTATCCAGGGAAGGAGAGAAGAAATTGGAGTTTATTTGCTGAGAATCACAAGTTGCAGTCTAGCAGCTGATAGTGGGGCTGGAGGACAATGGTTGTACATGACTAAAGCTTGTTTGAAGTGAGATAATGGCCTGCTGTATTCACACTGATCACCCCCTTGGTGAGAACAATGCACTTCAAGTTAACATGCACACTGAATGCCTGAAAAGCGAACTAGCCTGAGTGAAAAATTAATTAGCATGAGGGGTGATGTTTCCTAGGCTGTGAGTATGACTGACTTCTGGTGCTACTTGAGTATTTCTGCTCAAATCGGGCAGAAACTGCAAGTTGTGCAATAGCTCGGCTGGAGTTGACTCCACAGTCAGGTTTTACTGTTATGAATGATGTGACTATCCCTGATGTGCATCCTGACTGACATCTCCAGTAATTCTGTCTGCCAGCTTTTTGTACATCACTTCAGTTTCAAATACTGTCTAATCTTATTTTTCATGCATCCTTATTTTAAGTGGAGAATTTTATTGAGTTTCTGATACTTTAAGCAGTATCTGCAGTTTCATTGCCACATGTCAAGTAATTCATCCTTTTGCTGGTAATATCAGTTGACAAATCTTGTAATGCCGCCTTTTAAATAAAATAGACATAGCTGCGTGTGACTGAATAACTAATAATTATCTAGCTTTTGTCTCTACTCATGTAAATTTGACTTTTTATGCATCCTCACACATAGCTAGAGTTTTCTAAGATTCAATCTCAGTTTAAAATTGTTTCTTGAAATTTCTACTTACTGTAGCATATGCCTTTCCAGCCTGTTAATACCCAATCACAGAATCATAGAACGGTTTGGGTGGGGAAGGGACCTTAAAGATCATCTAGTCCCACCCCCCCTGCCATGGGCAGGGACACCTTCCACTAGACCAGGTTGCTCCAAGCCTCGTCCCGCCTGGCCTTGGACACTCCCAGGGATGGGGCATCCACAGCTTCTCTGGGCAACCTGTCCCAGTGCCTCACCACCCTCTCCGTGAAGAACTTCTTCCTGATATCTAATCTGAACCTCCCCACTTTCAATTTAAACCCATTACCCCTCGTCCTGTTGCTACAGACCCTTGTAAAAAATCCCCTCCAGCTTCCTTGTAGCCCCCTTCAGGTACTGGAAGGCTGCAGTAAGTTCTCCACAAAGCCTTCTCTTCTCCAGGCTGAACACCACCATATGCTTTTATTTCTCTTTGACTGTATTTCTCATTTGACCATAAAGTCCAAAGAAATCGTACTAAAATCAATCCATATAAGATGTTTAAAACCTTGTTTCCCAAGTATTGCCAGTGGAGGATACTTAAATCACCAAGCTTCCAGAGAAGACCAAAAGGGAGAGAGGACAAAGGAAGGGGGTTATGAAAGACAAGATGTTTCTGGCTGGCAAGACAGATGCAAGGGGGCAGATGAAGGACAGTGAGTTACTACCTTATGAAAACTTGGGGAAAATGTGACACAATCAGTGGGTTGTGGCAGATGCAGAGCTGAGAAGTCCAAGGAGTAATTAGTCACTAACCAGTCATGGAAATTTGGAAGTTTATGTTGTTCAAGAGCTGCATCTTGATTAAAATGGACTGATATTTTCAAGAAAGCGATAGGAACAGATTGTAACAGCAGCAAGTCAGCATAAATGCAGACTTCAATTTGTTTTCCTGTAACAATTCTGGTAAGTGGAATTTGAAAACAACACAAAAAACTTGGTTTGATCCTACTGTTTTGATAGTGTGTATAGCAATACAGATACATGATTGGAATCGAATCAGATCAACAGTAGTTACTCACTACTTATAAATAATGACAGACATTAGTTAACAATAACTGAACCTAAAAAATGAAAAGGAAACAAATCTTTCTTTTTCTTCTTTTGCATTACAAGATTTACAGCAGTGCTTGCTTAAATAGAGCAGTACTTGGTTATTCGTATTAGGCTTTACCCCTGAAAGATGCATGGAGGGATGCATGTGTGGATTAGCACTGGGAAAGAACTAAAGATAATGAATGCACTTTGCAGAGTTGCAAATCAACGTGTCAAAAGCTTAAATCCTGACACATCTCAAGATGTACCACATCCCTAAGGGACATGCTGCTTTACTTAAAACTCAGTTTTCTGCCTACTGGTATGAGTGCACACAGTTTAGTTCCTAACCTTTTTCTGAATTTAAGGAATGCTTTTCCAGGTGGAAGAAGTGTAGGTGCCTTTCTGTTCCACAAGTTTTGTTGTCTTACTGTAAAACCCAGGAGAAAAAGGGATGAGTATCCCCTGCTTGCAGTGGTATTTGGGTTATGTCCCGTATTTGACTGGAATCTCAGTCATCTGGTTTGTAGCATCTCTGAAGAGAACCATTGCTTCTCAGTCATATTACATGGCAAAAGTCAGCTTGGATGAGAGCATTTCTGAATAAGGTGTCCTGTGAGTAGAATTACCATACTTCATTATTCACATTGTTACTCTCAAGATGGTGGTTTTATCCTTCCTTTCTGGAAGAAATACTCAGTTTCACAGCTGTCAAGATTATGCCTTTCCTTTTTTTTTTTTCCCCAAATCCAGTGAATTCTATGGAAGTGAAGTTATATTTTGAGGTCTTGATACAAAATGTTTATTGCTGATGTGTGGTAATCGTTCAGCATTTATTTGAGGACTGATTACTGTGCATGCATAGTTATTCAGATGCTGGAAGAGTTCCTGAAGTTGTCAGGTATTTGAGGGGCTGTCTGACTACAGAGGTAAATCTGCATCTTTGAGTTGAGTGAGCCCTGTAGCTCACTGAACCAGGTGGACATGATTTATGTTTGTCTCGGTATTCATACGGCATCTGTCACTACAATCTTTGCACCCCTCATCTAATTCAGTGAATGCATCTTTCAAGCACTCTGAAGTGGTGAAGGTAAAGTCATCTGTCCTATGGAGAGCTATCCTAAAATTGTCCGTTACTGCTTTGATGTATTTGTTGTTTATGTTGACTTTCAATGCAGTGATTGCTGAAATGTTTGCCCCTTTGATTTTCCTTCTATTAAATTCCCTTCACAGAAGGTGACTAAACATGAAATAAAAAGTCTTGCCTATTTTCTTTTTCATGCTTGGCAATCTCCACATACATGTCATGGGAAGGTAAACAAAGGATGGTATCCATTTGGTATTCGAACAGAGGTGTTATATTTCTGCCCTTCCACCCCTGTTAATTATAACCTATAAATAAAAATAACATACTGGTTTCAATGGAACAATGAAAAATCTCTCTATTTGTTTTCCTAGCACCAGTAGGCTGAGAGTTCCGGGAGGATAACTGTTGATTTCTTGTGAGTTCCAGGGAAACTATTACTATGACTTCAGCACAGAATTTTATCATGTGATTTTAATGCCTGTGTACTCACACGTAGAAGGCTAATAAAAGAAATTTTAAAATCCAGTTAACTAACCATATTCATAAAAGCAAGTGTGCCAGTGGTTATTTCAGCGAAGAAATTAAAACGGGTTTTGGTCTTTAGGCTTTGGGATCATTTTTTTGGGTTATGGGGTTTTTTTTGTCTTTGGGGTATTTTGGTTTGGTGGGTTTGGTTTTGGGGTTTTTTGGTGTGATTTGGGTTTGTTTGTTTGTTTGTTAGTTTTTTCCAGTGGATGAGAGCTCTGTGGTCTTTAAACTAATGTCCATATCTGCAGGAAGGGAAAATTTACATATTTTAGTTGGTGTCACATTTAATTGATGTCCTAGAAGCTACCAATTAATTTAACTCTGTTTTTTTTTCTACATACTTATACTTCATAAAGTATAAGTTGGGAGAGCTGAACACTGATAAGGAGTTTCATTGTAACCTAGAAATGAGATTGGCATTTTTCTGGAATATTTTTATGTAAGCCTACATCAGTGAAACTTTTGAAGCTTTGGACTTTTAACAGGAAGGTACCAAACTACATGAAAATAAGTGTGTTGGCTCATCTTGGCATCACAAAACTAAAATATTCCACACAATAAACTTAGCCTGAAACATGCATCTTTTGATACTCTCATTGCTTATTACTAATGTACACTGGTACTGCCTGTTGATAGTGACCTGCTGGAGATCTAAATGCTTACGTAGAAGAATCTACTTGGGGTAGTTTCTTTGGTATAAAGAATTAGGCTGGATAAACAGATGTGCCTAATTCTCAACTGTCACAGAAATGCAAGAGAGGCTTACGTTTTGTAGGCACTGCTTAGCAGGGAGTAAAGTTTCTAGAAACTGCTTGTGTTAAACCAGCACTATTTCATAATTGTTATTTAACAGCATCTTGGGAAAGGAGTGAAATAAATCAGCACTTAGATACGAAGTCCGATTGCAACCTGCTCTGGAGATGGCAGACGGAAGAACAGCAATGGGGTCATTGCTGCTTGCGGGGTAGGATAACACCATAAAGCTGCAGAGCTTCCCAGTCTGTTGTACATTTTCATAGGTCACTCAGAGGAAGATGAGTAGCGGACAAGAGTGAAACATATGGAAGTATTTCTTTTATTTGATATTCTACGGTGGTTATTTACCTTTATTACTTACTTTTTGTACAGTTTCAAATAGTAAATCCCAGGCTTTCTACTATACGAAATTAATCTTTAAAAGCCCCACCAGAGTACACACACGATGTTATATGAAATTTGCATTTGATAAATTTGCTTTAGTATTATTAAACTAAGTCCGTATTACTATTTGTGTTGGTGTTTGTGACAATTTACAGTGACCTTTATAACAGAATACTAAATACCTGTTTTCCTTAGTAACCATACTTGAACATGTTTGAGGAACACTTTCTGTTTCATTACCCTTGTTATATTTAGTTTTCTAACAAGTTATCCTACGCAGTTCTTAGAGAACATAATTTCATAGCAAAAGGAAAAACTTGCTGCTTTTGATAGGTATGTTTTAAAAAACAAAGCCACTTAAGGGCCTGGAGGATTTTTACACATGCTTAGAGTAAGAATACTTCATGAGGAAAACAAACAGCACCCTAAACAAGTAGAATTTGAAGATAATTCTGGACCAAGGAAGGTTCGAAACTACCTGTCATAATTTATGGGATAGAGAATTGCAGTGGAAAATAAGTAAAAAAAAAAAAAACCACCCACAAGGTGGCAGAATTTAATGGTTTCCTCTGTGTATTCCTGCCAAAACTGAGGACCATATTTGAATAGGTGAAATTTTAGATTACGAAGAGGACACAAGTTATTTAGATCCAGTAATAAAATATTCTCCTATATTTTGATTGCTACAGCTTGTAATTTTAGGTGGAAAGCTCTTATGTGCATCATGTTTGCATAGTGCTGGGCTACTCAGTGTAAATCATCTCAAACAGTTACGGTATTTGACTTTCAGTACCCTAAGTGCTAGCAACGTTGATTTTTCTCTTCCAGCTGGTTTCATTTCTGCTTTGGAACAAGCTGATATGGCACCAGAAGCTCTCACCTCATCCAATTTATGCAGTTCTAGGCCAGACTAGAAACTGAAATCTTTACAACTCATAAGGATATGGCAGAGTTGCAATAATTCTTGGCTAGCATGATCTTACACACTTTTAATTTTCACATTTACTATATTCTTTTAAAATATAAGGGAAAAAATATTTCTGTAGAAACTGAAAGGAAAAGAAATGAAATGTGGAAAATAAAATCATTGTCTAAGAAAAACCTTTCAATAAGGGTAACATAGGAATGAATTCAAGCTGTAATTTCCTTCCCTTTAAATGAGAATTTGCTATAGCATTGTGTATTATCAAAGTACCAGAGAATAATTGTTGTTCATAAGTCGAATGAAATTATTTCCAATTTCAGATCAAGAGATGGACTTAATAATATACACATCTTTGTCTAGAAAATTTTATCTTACTTTATTGACCATTTTGCCTATAATGAGAATATTTTAAAATGAAGGGTAGTTTAGACTGACATTTTAACAGGAGACAGGCCTGTAAACCTCATTGACTCTTAATGTTATTTTTTTAAGTCTGACTCACCTAAGTTCTTTTGAAAGTTTTACCCTATTGCCTCAAAATGAATATTAAGTTACTAAATTGTCATATGCCAGTATCAGAAATTATGAGTCGTGGAGTATCATTTTCATTACAAAGCAAATAGAGGGAATTTGCTGCATTTAAATTTCTTTTTGAAAAAATTGAATAGAAAGAAGGAAGAGGAATTTTTTCTTCCTCTTCAGAATCATATTTACTCAAAATGCAGGTTTTACTTTAGAACCCTTTCTGTCTTCTCTGTTTCTTCAGTGAAGCAGCTCAAACCAGCTTTATTTCCCTGATGATTTTTTTAAAAGGAGACCTACATTTTTGTTTCCTGATCTGAGGGCAGAACTGCAAAGTCTAACAAAAAGAGCTTGTTGTGGTAATGATTACATTATGTTACAGGAGTAGAAAAATATGGGCATATTTTCAAATTTAATTAATATGATCAACCAGATAGAAAGGGTCTTTAATAGCTGCTAAGCTGATATTTGGACCATAGTGCTGTAAGTCTCATTTTAAACTCCATTAGCCCCATCCTTGTTCTTGAGTCTTCTGATTTGTCTGGATCACATTAATCACAGCTGCAGTAGTATCTGTAATTCTTACTTTAACACAATGAAAAGGCACAATGATTTTGATAAATAACAAGCATCAGATGCTTAATAAAAAAGCAGTGGTCAGTTAAGTCATCCATTGCCATGGCTATAAAAGCTGTACTTATTGGAATATAAAACTTAATTATACTAGCAATTTTGATAGTTTGCATCATAGATTATAAGCTGGTCTTTTGGCTTGAAAATTGTATGTTCATCCAGCTTTCCTTTTTGAATCATCTAATTGATAGTAATTGTGAGCAGTTCACAGAGGAACAGGAAGGCTGCTTTTTAATTTTTTAGTTGCTCTTTCTGTATTAAAAATAATACCCAGATCAAGTTGTTCATAGTTTATTACAGCTTTGAAGATAACCGTGATTTGAAGAGATTGGACTAGATGAGCTCTCAAGGTCCCATCCACCTTAAATTTTCAAGATTCTATGAAGATAACTTATTTTTCTTTTTTCTTTTTTTTTTTTTAAAGGAAGGTATCAGGTGATTGAGGGCATCATGTCTCCTGTTAATGATGACTATGGAAAGAAAGGCTTGGTTTCGGCAAGGCACCGAATAGCAATGGCTAAATTAGCACTGAAGACATCTGACTGGATTCGAGTTGATCCATGGGAGAGTGAGCAGAAGACATGGACAGAGACAGTAAAAGTATTAAGGTAATTACATTTATTTTCCTTTCTTTATGAAGTTACTGATGCCAAAAATCTGTCAGGCTACTAGGTCAATGCACAGAACTCGCTCCTGTAAAACACCCAAGCAAGGCATAATGTGTCTGTTTATGGTATCATCTGCTATGGGATAAAGTGTTATATCTGAGAGCAATGAAAATTCACATCACTTTTTTTCAGAAAGGCTGCGAAGTCAGTGTTCCCCATCTGAGTCTTCCCCTTCCTAGTGCAAAGCAGATAGGCTTTCCCCAGACCTATGCAATATGCCACAGTGCTGCACTTGTGCCATTTATGTAGTTAGATGCATATGGAAAGCATCTGCCAAGAAAGGGTCTTGCAAATTTATAGTCACTAAAAGAGTTCTGCGTGAAAGTTCTTGGCTCTCATGTTATTGTTTTTAAGTTTCTAAGCCGGTAATGTATAGATCTTAATCAGAAAGTAAGAGAGTTTACAAACAAACCTAACTTTCAGGAGCATCCCTACACCGGATTAGCTATCTTGGCTTTATTATGCCTCCAGGTTTATCTATTCACACATCCTTGAAAAGTTTTCTTATTAACTCTAATGGGAAGCTAAACCCAAGCCCATAACTGCTGAGGTTTTCTTCAAAATCATTGAGTTTGCTTGGCTTTGTGCTGGAAGAAAAAATTGAACAATTTGTCCAAAACCTGTTAACTTGATGTAAGGACCTTGAAATGTGCCTTTTTCCCATATGGTTGGTCTTGGTAATAACTGCGTTATGGGGCAAGGTATGAAAACACTAACCTGTAGCATCTACGTGTCCAACAAGCGGCTAGTGCAAGAAGTCAGCAAATACTGTTAAGGGTGAAAGTCTTCATGGATGTCTTTCAAGAAAGCAAGTGTGCTGTAAGAACTATCAGTGATTCTTCATTTCTAGCCACATCTTCTAAGTTGTTTTCCAACTGGAAACAGTTGTTTGTATAGCTTAAGGCTCTAAAATGTGTCTTTGGCAACTGCCCAGAAGCTCTTACGGCTCTATGTGAAAGCCACTGAAAACCAGACCTGTTACCTCACAAAAGCATACATATGAATACCCTACATACTTACAGAATAACTAGTGGAGCCTTCCAGTTCTGCTTTTATTTGCTTTGCTGAGTGAACATAGACAACCAGTTGCTTCTTTTGCCCCTTCCAGCACAATAGGATCAGGGCAGCAGGAAGAGCAGGCAATGCTACCCTGTCTTTGCAGACAATTTCTTTTTCTGTTCTCTAATTAACTGTATATTCCAGTGTGAGAAATCACCAACATTCTGTCCTGCAGTATTGGTTAGGTATGGGATTTTCATCCCAAACCAGTTTTGTAAAACTGTTTTCCTCCAGAGAAGCAGCCACAAATCTTACAGATCACTTAATTATGATCTTAATTACAAAGGCTTTGATCTTTCACAGCTCCAACTGAAGTGAGTACTAATTGCAAGACTGGGTTTCTAAATTGTAAATCCACTCCAGAGTCCTTTAGGATAAGAGGTACTGTAAATAAAACCTGTATGTATAATCCCCTTCTGATCAGGGGAGGTAGTGTCAATGTGGTATGAACAGCCAAAGGACGTCTGCCTAGGAAGTGAACCTCTGATTTTATAAATAAATCCACAAAATATTAAAATGGATGCCTGTTAAGGAGAGAAATGAGCTTAAATAATTTTTAGCCCAAATGATGACCTGTATTAATGGGCTGAACCAGTGCCATAACCTAATGCTGAACCCTGTCCTCTGAATGGGGAAGCAGCACTCTGCTGGAATAGCACACGTAGGTATTTTGGCTTTATATTGTATTTTAACTGTCACTCGTGAATATTTAAAAAAAAAAAGTGGCTTTAGGGCTAGATCCTTACCACATAAAAACAGGCAGTGGTTTATTGTGGACTTCTGCTTCTGCACAAGTGTTGAAGGTTAATCTACAGATTTTTCCCTGGTCAAAGAACCAAGAACCACTGGCTTCCTTCACAGTAAGCTCCCTCAGGTAGGAAACTTTACTACCAATAGAAAGAGATTTTGCTACTGGAAGGCAAAAAAACATTATTGTACCTAAATGTCTCTTCTTATCAGTATTTTGAATTGTACACTCAACTGCAGTAGAACATTGTGTCCTTAGACACATAAATGGCCTCTTCCCACAGTACTTGTTGTACCTGAGTGCGATGAAAATGTCATGTCTCATCAAATTCTGTGGATTTTGCAGAGGCTCCCAAATAGTTATGACATAAAAGAATTTTAAGCAGCAAAGCTTTTATCCCACTTGTGGTGGTGCTATTAGTTGCCTGTTAGATTAAGTGAATATGGAAATTTTGGAGACTATCCCAAGGCTTTTTTTAGAGAGGAGGGAACATGATAGAGCTATTTTACACTTAGCGGCTGTTCCTCAATACTGTTCCTAGACAAGGAAACGGTGTTGGTGGTATGCAAGGACCTACATCCATTCCTCTTGCAATGCAGATTTGATCGTGGTGCAGATAAACTGTGAATTAATTTAGAATTGGCAAAGACCTATCTTACCCAACTTTTGTTGAATTTTGCTTGTGAATTAATTATATAGTTACTCAAAGCTTCATACACAGTTCAGGAAATGCTTGATAAACTGACAGATTGGTTCGTCCTTTTTGGCACATCTTTAAAATAATGTCACCCTCCCTGCCCCAGCACTTGAAACACCTGCTAGGCAGTTAAGATTCTGCAGTACTTGTAACATTAGTCCTGCAGTGAGCTCTTTGCCAGGAGTTCTTATTTTTGAATCATGGCCCAAGAATGTCAGTCCGTGATACAGAGTTGAATTGCTTGACTATACATAGCATCAGCCTCTGTACAACAAGGTAGGATTAAAAATAAAAATGTAGGAAGGCACAGGCTGAGCTATTGCTACCTAGTCTCTGCTTCCGTATGTTCCTCACCTCTTGTCTATGCAATTTCTTTAGCCAACGGCTGAGCACCAAAACTTACTGGAGATAGTTATTCAGCCTGTCTAGATGTAGGTTCTTGACACTTCTGCAACTTCTTCCTGTGGCTAAAAGTATTTGCAGGATCCAAAGAGTGTACATTTAAATCACTAAACTATGAATTCATTCCTTAGGTCAGACATTCAAACAGTGATCTATGGCTTTGACATGTACTGGATTCCAACTGCACCTTGTGACTCATCATCTTGGCTGTGATACAGTTATCTAACACCTGATGGTCACTTTGGCTGTATATGGACTAGGCAGAGGTGGGACACTGGCTTGAGTCTGTGTCTAACTGTGAGCTTTCCTGAAACAATTTTGTCTCGTGCCAATAGGAGCGATGCCTAAGCATGGCTCAGGATGGTGCAAGTTAGGGACTGTTCTAAACAGGCCAGGCCATGCTGATTTGGAAGGATGAGAGTTTAGGTGTTTGTAACTAAGATTGGCACTTGCCCTCATGATCAAAGAAGGGGACACTACCCTGAGGTGGTAGTACCAGTATTGCAGTGGGCCACCAATGATCAGGAGCAGCAAAAGAATAAAGTAATAGAAACCTGGAAAACTGACAAAAGAGATCCTTGCCTGCCCTCATGGATCTGAATTCAGTACAATTAGAGGCATAGCAGTTGTCAAAAATCTTAGGAGAATTTTACATTTTGAGTTTCTCAGGATTGCAATTCTTTTGATTAACTGAGCACACATTACAAAAACATCATCATGATGGGTTTTATTTAATCAAGAAATTAAATCTAGTGAATGAAGTGTGATTTAATCCTGTTTCAAGCAAAACCTTCCAAAATGTTTTAAATGTAATGTTGCTACCAAAATTGCCATAACGGTAGAATTTCAAAAATGAATTGAAAACCAGAATGCCATTATGGAGGTTGCTTGTGAGTTCTGCAAAATGTTAACTACATTGACACTAATCTCACGGTAGAATGAATATGCTGTATCCTTAACAAATGGTATTCAAATCCAAGTGCGTAAAAGCAGACTATGTTCATGAATGGGAAAGCGCCAGGTAATCACTTTGTGCACCTCTGAGGATTACCTCACACAGAAGTCTCTATTTTCAATGCAGGCACCATTACAACGAATCACTTGCATTGTTCCAGTCCAAGAAGGAATTAATGAAAAACAAACAGCTCACAGAAAGACGTACAGAGGATCCCCTTTCTCACCAGCACTCGGGTTGGTTCATAACTGTAAACACAACTTTTTGTTTAGCATTAAAAACAATACAGCTTTACCAGACTAGACTGACTGATGGAAGAGTTGAATGTAATAGCTGGTAAATTTTGAGAGCTGGCACTGCCTGCCAAAAACAAGCCATGCCAGATGTCAGTGTGGCTGCTGGTGCAGTTGCCTTGTAGTTAACCCCCACATAGACAGGAGACTTATTTTGGAATTGTATTAATTCTTGGTTTTAAAAGCTTCTCTTTAGGTGTGTCAGAGTTATATATTGTGGCCCTGCTAGTTTTGCAAAGCATAGACTATATGAATAAAAAATATCAAGAAGTATAGGGATTACTTCGAGTTGTAATTCTGGTGTTAGACTGTGGCTGAAGTATACCATTACCACACCAGTGAAGCTGATGCATGGGTGTCTACTGCATTTCTGGACAAAACAGCTTCTGTTGACATCAGAAGTACGTCAGGTTCTGGAAACACTGTCAGTTTTCAGTTTCCTATTTTATCATATTCCCTAGACCTACAACTTGCTAGGATGCTGCTAGAATTTTTGATACATTTTTCCTGTAGCATTGCAACACTTCTTGGACATGAATAATACATTTAGGTTGTTTATGGTTATACAAAAGTTTTTAAACGCCGTTATATCATTATAGATGGTAGAGGAAAAAAAAAGTCACAAGGCATTAGGACTGCAGTGGAAACTTGTGTCTGATGGGGTTCGTAATTGTTAGCAAGTGACAAATTACCACACTGAGTAAAATTAGTGTGAAATTAGTAAAGCTGATTTTAATTTTCCATTACAAAAAAATATTTTGGCTATTATTTGTATAGCTATTTCAAACTGTAGCATTCTATGTAAATATGGTCAAGAAAACAAATGTGAAAATTAGTCTTTCTCTCCCAGTAAAGATGCTCAGTTTAGAATTCACCAGTCATCATCACAGAATTCCTGTGCAGTCAAAAACAAAAGGTGTGGCAAAAGCTGGGTGAGAAGGAGGACAGTAAGGAATAGGTTTCTCTGTCTAGTACATAGTAGCTGGTTTTTCTTTTGTATTCTATCTGGCAGCTGTCCACAAAGACTAATCCATTAGTTTGAACAAAGAAAGGCTAGCATCCCATTGTTAGTTGCTTTTTCTGCCTTCAGTGCTCTGACTGACTGGGCAGATACGGATATTAAACATGTGGCCCACTAAGAAGGAACGGAATGGTTTCTTCCTGCTTCCTTCGGACTCTAGCATGATATGGCATGGGGCATGGGCAATGATCATGAGCTACAGAGAACTCCAGAGCAGACTAGTGTTCTTCCCCTTTCTCAAAAATAATTGTTAATTAGCACAAACTTTCTAATGGCAGCCAACTGTCACGCAATTCCTCCTCCCCTCAAAAAAAACCCCAAAAGCAAACAAACAAAACAAAACAAAACCCACAAAAACCAAATCCTCCCAACTATGAAATCTGTTGAACTGGGGTTTCTTGTGAAGTTTCTTGTGAAGAAAGGCTCAGTCACCTAACGGAATCTTTCAGAAAAATCAGTTTCATGGCTGAATTTAGCAGTGGCAGAATTCTGTAATATACTATTTTTCTATTACATGTAAGGCTATGAAACTCTAAGACTTGTTTGCCTAGTGCTGAATCTTATGGTTTAGTTCCACATGAACTAATCAGGTCACTTTAATATACACTGCAAATAAAACGGTTCACTGAGGACAGGTGTAGACAAATGATTGCAGGTTTAATAAAGTTAGAATACCTTATTGGTGCTAGTCATTCAGGATCAAGATGGAAACAACAAGACTACAGAGTTCTTTTTCCTGTTTCTCAGTGTCCAGGGATTTGCCACCCCTCCTTGATTCACCAAATACAGCTTCATAAACAGTATTTCTTTTCCTACTTAGAAGAGATGTTTGACTGTCTTCAACTTTGAGTGTCCCCTGCACTTCAAGTCTCTGAGTTGTGTTACATGAGCAACTTTGTTGTCACCTCTTGAATGCTTTTCCCTGGCATATTCCAGCAGCGATATCCCTTAATTAGACCTTAAATACAGCTACTTCCTTTGTGTTAATAGTTATTTCTCCTTTAGCTTATCCTCTCCTTTCTCCCTGAACAACACTTGAAAGAATCACAGTTCATTTCTGTCCACAATCATTCACTGAGCTACACCAATCAAAACCAATCAAAAATTTCCCTGATCCAGAGATGCTATGACCTTAAATAATTGTACTTATCAAAAAATGGAGCACTGCAGCAGCCGTTTGGATTTTATACCATTATCTATAGCGGAAATTGCAGATCATCATTTAGCAAAGTGCCCTTGGAAGGCACGTTTTTCTCACTGGCACAGAAGATGCAGGGACATGCAGAGATGTATTTGTAAAATTGACAGCCTTTTTGTAAAGCCTCCACTCTGTTAATTCAGCTTGTAGTAACCTAGAACTGAAATGCATGTACATTCAGAGAAGACCTGTCAATACGATAAAAGCTCTGGCGTAATATTAGCTCTAATACAGCTTGGGACAGAGTACTGTTGTGTTGTGGAGGTTGCTGTTAAGTAACAAGTAAGCTGTGACATAAAACCCAGGTAAGGCTCTGGGAAAGCAGGGCACTTGAAACAGTCTAAACATGGAACTGAGGACAGGGAACTGGAAGGAAGAGTAGAATCTGTGAATGGAAAGGCAAGAAGATTGGAACTGGCATGAGGAAATAGATGGGCAGAGGACAGCTTGGAAGGGATGATGCAGAAAACATCAGCTTTATCATGATAGAGCTTCCAGGGTTGTGTGAATACTAAGGTTCTGGGTTTCTCATCATTCATCAGCTGACACAAGTATCTGGCATGTTGTTTCAGAGTTTCATACTCTTGTAGCCCTGGTCTGCACAGGGATCACAGACAACTTTGGCAGGTTCTCCTGAATTAGCTCAAATGTCAGAGATGAGAGCATTGATTCTAAAGGATCCAATCTTGCATATGTAGATAGCAACATCAAATTTACTGGGTGGTTTGTGGGGGAGGGAGCAGTTACAAAAATTCCACATTCCTACCAAATTCACTAATTATAAATGCTTAAAAGCACCGGAATTATATTTTTGAGTATGTGGACAGTCTATGGTGATTCTCCCAGGCATAAAAGTTTAAAGATACCCTTCTGCCATACAGTCCTCCTGTAATGCTGCCTTCAGAGCACAGGAAGGTGCAGTGCCTTCTTTTGCTGTGAGGGTCTGGAAGTATGTAGTGAAGGGTGTAAGAAGAGAAGAAATGCTTGCTGTAGTTAACTCGGTATGTACTAACCCTCTGCAAAACTGAGTGTATCTTCAGGCACTTAAGGGATGCTTTTCATGTATCATCACTGGTATGTTTCTCATTTTGTTGTAGAAGACTCACAGATGTGCTGTCTACAACCACAAATAAATGCAAACTGGAGACAATACCTCCATCCTTCCCCTTCATTTCACATGAATGCAAGGCTGTGAAAATACCTAGTCAATGTTTCTAAAATACTCAGATGGCATAAGGATGAATGCTGCAGAACAGACTTTGAGGAAAGAGCTAGTTCTGTACTGGGGCTTAAGCAGGGGGCAGCAAAAAAGAAATGGAGAAAACAAACAAAAAAAATGTACTAGTGAAGTGTTGTTCTTGGTCATTATTCAAGGTACAGCAAATTTGGCTTTAGATATCTTTGCACTAGAACGAAAATGCCCTGGCCACGTGACACAAAATGTGTAATATAATATTGTATAATACTGTACAATATTCTGCTGGTTCAAATTTCTCTACAAATAAACTAAAACTTAGTAGGTCAACTAACCAGCTTATTGTGCCTGTAAGGGCAGTTAGATTAGATACATGCCATCATGTTTTAGATGATAGAGGTGCACAAACCCAGGCGAAATTCTAGGCGGTTCTCTGGCTAATGTGACAGTATGCAAACATGGGGGTCTGTGTGCCAGAGTGCAGCAGGGCAGCTGCTCCCTAAGGATGGGGAGCCAGGTGCAATAACAGTGGCAGAGAATGGCCTCGCTACCCGGGGTTGGTCCCACAGTACCTCAGCAGAGTGAGCAGGGCAGGCTGGGATGCAGTAACCAGGACTAGTGTTTGAGCTAAAATAATGCTCCACTTTGTTTGCTTTGTCCCCTCTTTGGCTTGCTTGGGTGGAGGAATAATTCTCCCTTAACATTTTACAAATATTTGATACGCTGTGAGTGATGATGAAGTTGGTGATAAAGTACTTGTGACTACACACATAAAATAAAAACTGAATTTTTCTTGCAACATCTTGAAAGAAAACTGGAGAAGAGGTAAATGATTGGGAAAAAAAAAAAAGGAAAAAAAATTATGAGTTAAACCAATTTTAAGTATAAACTTCCTAGAAGACCAAACAAGCATAGAAATCTCTCGTTTCCTTTTGTCTTTCTAGTTCTACCAGAATTAAAGCTGCTCTGTGGGGCTGATTTTCTGCAGACATTTAAGACACCCAATCTCTGGAAGGAAGAACACATCAAAGAAATAGTGGACAAGTTTGGTTTGGTCTGTATTAGCCGTGCTGGATCTGATCCTGCTCAGTATATCAATGAATCAGGCCTTTTAACTACATACCAGCACAATATCTTTCTGGTGAAAGAATGGATTCAGAACGAAATCAGTGCAACGCAGATTCGCTATGCTTTGTGCCGAGGATTAAGTGTAAAATATCTCGTACCAGATTCTGTTATATCCTACATTGCACACCATAATATCTACACAGAAGAGAGTGAGCGGAAGAATGAAGGTGACTTGCTTCAGCCTCTTAAGTTGCATAACAAAATGGTAAACCCACTAAATGACTGAAGTCTGTAGTGCGTGAAGTGGACAGACAGTAAAGCTCTTGAGAAAGTTGTTTCTTGTTAATGAGGGGAAAGTAATCAGTCCAAAATTTCTTGAATTCATGTGGTGTTTTAAATTCATGGTTTTGTGTGTGGTAGTACTTAAGCAAATTGGGATGCTTAGCTGCATAGCTTAAATATATAAAGAACAGCTTCCTTGTGAAAATAAAAGAAATGAGATCTTAACAATAAATATTAACCTCCAGTAATACTTCAGGGTCAAACATAGTATTTTCCTGAATTCTAATTCTGTAATCCAACAGACAGTTTTAGCATGAAGATGTCTTACTGTTCTGAAGCAGCGAAATAAAATGAACTGTAACTTTTTTATATACATATATATTTAAATACATATTGCTGCTAAACTTTGACTTTTTAGGACCCTGAATAACTTTCTGTGTTTTGGCAGTTTGGACAAGAGATTGAAATAAACCTTTCTTTCATGCGAGCAGTTAAAAACGCACGTACCATTCATGTCACTGTTAAGCCTCCAGATTCACCAATGACAGACAGTCCTCATCCCTGGATCTGAAGTGGGTTTCCTTGCTGCTCTGATACTGAGTATTTCATAAGAGTAAGTAATTGCCAAAGCCCTGGAGTTAGATAACATATACAAGAGGAACTTCAGCTGTACCATTTGAAAATGCACAATGGAAGATAGATGAAAGAGCTGAGACGGCTAAGAGGCTGTCTCAGTATTTGAGCCCTAATTAATGTTAGCCAGAAAAATCCATCCTGTTATACGTTGGTTGCCTATTCTGCTGATTCAGTCTATCTCATTTTTGACAGAAGACGCCTTCAAATAATACAGAAACTCTATGAAGTGCTACTTTTGTGTTTCAGTGTTTTTTAACTTAACTGAAAGCATGCATTCAGTAGTGATGTAGCATTTATCAATATACAGAATCAACCACTGCTTCTCAGTACACCTAACTCGCCCTTTTTGATCCCTCAGTTGGCCAAGCACCTTCCCCTGGTAGCTCTCTAGAATTAAGGAACTTGTGGAACGAGTTCACATAATGCCAGACAGACACAAATTGCTTTCATGGCAAGAGTATGTATGACCATTTTCTGAAAAGAAGGCATAAAGTAGATGGAACATACTCAAGGAAGAAGAATTCACCTCCTTAACAAGATAAGCACTTCTTTAGTTTTGGCCAATATGTTAAACTAAAGCTATTTAAAAGGGGTTTTTTTCCTGAGTGTCATGAAAATTAAGAGAAATATGGTTACAGTGGATGTCCAGATACTCAGTACCCTTACAGAAGTTATATGGAGGGTGAATATTTCATTCTGTTTAAATCAAGTCATCCTGCTGTCATTAGAAATCTGAGGTTCAGCCTTGTGGAAGGATTTAAAGGCAACACTTCAACTATAATCGGATTAGAAGGACTTGCATAGTTACACGCTCTAAAAAAGAGATAAAAGAAACCAGAGTTCGAACTTGCCGCAAAGAAAGGCAGTGAGCTGTGTGGTGCAGAGTCAACACGCTGTTCAGAGACTTTCACTTTGACAGTCACCTGAAGCAGGGATGCCTGCAGATTTCAATGGCTACTGGAAAATGGTCAGCAATGACAATTTTGAGGAGTATCTGAAAGCACTGGGTAAGGTTCCCTTTGTGTTTCTTTAATAAATAATCAAGAAATGCAACCTGTCTTAGTCGTTACATAAACCTATTTTTTTCCTGTACAGTGAATCATCATTTTTGTGAGAAATATTTTTTTCAGGAATGTACTTTAAGAATTGCCTTATGCAAAATTGTGTTGTCTTAAGCAGCCTCTACTTTTTCCCATCTTGAAGCTTATATTAACAGAGATTAAACTACGTAGCTTGAAGAGGTAAATGGCAGATCTCAGATTTGAAAAAACAACCATAATTTGAAAAAGAGTAAAGTTTTTGTGTGTAATAGAGACAATAATGTACTTAATGCAACGTTGTTGTTTTGTATTTGATGTGAAGTGCTAGTATTTCTATAGAAATAGTCCTTAATAACTGTCAAATCCAAATGGTATTTCTTAGGATTCCACATAATCAGAAAATCAAAACATTAACTTATTTAAGTTAAAAGAATTAGGTTATGGACTTTTTCTTGATGAGACAACTGACCTGAAAGATCTGGACATTTATTTATCTTTGTTTATCTTTGTTCTCCCAAGAGCTACAAGCTTCTTTTTGTGGTAGATGTTTCTGGTTTAAAATAATTCTTTTTCTTTTTCAGATGTAAACGTTGCTGTAAGAAAAATAGCAAACTTGCTAAAACCTGACAAAGAAATCCTTCAGAATGGGGATCACATGATCATTAAAACGCTAAGCACTTTCAGAAACTACATCATGGAATTTGATGTAGGAAAGGAGTTTGAGGAGGATTTAGCTGGGGTGGATGATCGCAAATGCATGGTAAGAATTAGAACTGTAACAATGGGCAAAAAAAAGGAATATTCATAATCTGAGGCCTTTCCTGGACCATATCTGTTAACCATTTTGGGTGGCTCTTCCTAAAATTATTTCTTTACTTCTCAGTTTGCCAAGATATACTAACCCTAACCAGCACACTGATACCAATTAACAGGAGAAAAACCTGAGAATACCAAGTTCTTTCCTGTTAGCTTGAAAGCCTGACACCTGCGGTATCCTACAGTGAAGTTGGTTAGCAAAGGGAATTTATCTCAGGAGGGACTAGAGAGGAGAAATCAGATAACAGAGAACTAATAGGTTTCTATTCTTAGAAAGATAGTGCCATTTAAAACTGACACTGCTCTCTAACACTAAGATATGCAAATTTGATTTTGCTCTGATGACAGCAGTAAAAGGAAAGATCATGAAGATCAGAAAAAAAAGAATAGCTAGTGAGTGCCTCAACTAATCCTTCTGTACTCCTGGTTACAGGGGGTAGAAGCATGACAGTGCAGAATACAAAATTCACAGAGGGAGAAGCAATGTGTGTCTGTGTATAGGACAGTGCCTCAATGTCATAATGGATTTTTGGCTGCTGGAAGGCTCTTAATCAAGATAATGAGTTCCAGATCCACTGAATAGTTATGAGCCCAAAGAAGGACTTAGACTTAGGTGTCTACATTACTATCAAAGATAGATGTTCAAAACATCTGCTCAAGTGCTAAAAAATACCTAAGTCTTCAGTGTTTGAGTCAGTGAAGTGCTGGTTTCTGTGTGTACAGAAATGTCTCTATCTAAGCGTTACCTGCACTTAAATACTATTAACCCCCATCTAAAGGAGGACTAAAACATCCTCTACGTGACGGAAAGAAGTAATTGTGCTCTGAGGCTGTCTAGCATGTACCTGCAATGAGTTCTTACAAAATGTGGCGTACAATCACTGTGCTGAAAAAGCAGATTCAGAAGACATGGAAATGTGGGCCTTGCCTAGTCCTGCTTTTGAAATGCTGAATAGATTTAACACACAACTCCTGACAGATACCCTAAATATTTCATTATTTGTAACAGGCCAAAATTCTCTGCACTATTTTACTAAATTGAGTGGTGGGGAACAATTCAAAATGTTGAACCAGAAAGAAGAAATTAGAGAAGGATTATTCTATTTGCTATAACAGCTCTTTGATTTGGAGCAGAACTTAGTTCACCCTACTTCCAAGGGTTGCTTAAACATTTTATCTATTGGCTGCTTAGTGTACATGCTTATTTAGTCTTGGAAACAGAAGATACCAGCATCTTCCCTTTTCCAAAAACACCCAAGGGGTAGTCACTAATGCTGACTGTTTGTTTTGTTGAGAATGACTTAGGCATGTAACTCCACAAAAGCTTTCAGAAATCCTCCATGTCCCTTTATGGCCTCCAACAACAGATACCAACTGCAGCCATACGGTTAAGGTCACTGATCACTGGTTCTCCATTTGTCTTGTGGCAATGTACCATGCTTTATAATTCAATTTTCTCATTAAAGATTTCTTTTCTACATGAGACCTCAGTTTTCTCAAAGGCAAGACAGTACAACAAGCTGTCCTTCTGAAGCCACCTCAGCCCAAATCTGGTAACGATAATGTCAGGCAAAACTTGCAGTTGTTAAGCAACAAAATCTCCAATGGTCCAGAAAGAGTCTTGTGAGAGAAGGGTCATGGGGGTGATAGAAGAGATATTGCACCACTCCCTGAGTAGTGTTATGAAGACAAGCACCATAAAAGCAAAGATTGAGTATCATTCTTGGTGTTTCCTTTTCTCGTCTATAGCTTGTGAAACTGCTGCCATAAGTGGCTTAATCATTATTAGTCAACCTGTGTAAGAGGAGAGATTGTGAATCAATTACTGTTATTTATACTGTGGACTGAGCAAACCACTGGGCAAGTTTGATCCAAGTAGCTCAATGTATGAGAAGTACAAAGTAACATGGATAAGACAAGTTGCACATTAAACATTATATAGCAGAGCAATCATCGGGAGACTAGCAAAAATCACCTTAGAAGTAATTCATCCAGTAGGTATAGATCTTTCTTTTTTAATGAAGAATATATCATCTAACTAGAGTTAACATATCAGTGAAAATCATATTAGCACAGTGAACAGGTTAGGTCTTGTGTATAATTCACTGCCCTTGTGTTCAGCTTTTGGCTGTAAAACACGTCTTTAAGTCAGTCAGGTTAAGAGTGTAACTACAGTGATTCCAAGTTGATCCTGTTTGTGATGAGTAAAGCCTAAAAAGTTTCGCTGAGACTCATTTTAGAAGTCAAAGGTTTAACAGTAGGAATTGACAGTCCTGTGATAGTATAGCGCCCCCCCTCCCCTTCATTTCAGTTAGGATTTTTTCATTTTTATAGTTGGTCACTCCTGGAAGCCTGTCTTGAACTCTCGGGAACAGTGAGTTAACTGAGCTGGATAAACCTTAGCAGTTTGTCCTTTGTTTGACCTTTAACTGTTACTTTCTTGAATGCAACATGTTTTTAGGTGATTCTAGTTTCTTAAGCGATATAAATCAGCAGTTGCTGACATCGGTTCCTTTAAGATTTCGTTTCTGTTGGGACTCTTGTTTTCTGTTTCTGGACTCTTAAAAAATTCAGACATAACCTCTGCATTCTCTTAGCTCCATAATGCTATTGTGCTTCTCCTGCAGCTTTTCTCCAGAGATTTTTATCTCCTAGATAAAAGTTAAATAAGAGTTTCTCTGGTAATTTTGTGAAAGATATGTTTCTGCAAGTTTAATCATGCTTAATATTTAGGGTTGTTAAAAACTTGGCAGTTTGAACTACAAAAACAAAATGAAAGTTTATGTATTCAGGAGCATCTTTTACTCTTTGCAAATGTCATGAGGTGCACATTAGATGGTGTAGAAAGAAGTTTAGAGCATTAATATTGACAGAAATTCAAAGTTAAATGGGTAACTATGGCTTTGGTATTTCTTTAACTGAATATTTGATCCTGCTGTCTTCATTCTCAGTGAAGCTCCAGTCTCATCATAAAATTTCCTCAATTTTAAAGATAAATTCTATGATATCTAGTTGACATGAATTTAGTGAGCAGCTCAGGTAGCACACTGAGTAAAAAAAACCTTTTTCATGCATGTAAACTTTACTGTGGAAAAAATTTACTGTACACAAAAGAGGCAAAACCTTATTGAAACAACAATTAGTTGAAAACCACCTCTCATGAATGAGTATGCCTCGTTCATCACCAGGTACTTTTGCCTCCCTTTTTCACCATCAGTAATAAGCAGTGAAGCTGAGGAAGCATCTGCAATGTGGAATATAGCCCAGTAAACACAAGAACCGGGCAGGATCTACACTAAGCAGAAAAATTAGTCTTATGTACCTTCACAGTGTACTTGCTTAGTTCATCAGTCAAAAGTTTATTAAAAAAGTTAACTGAAAAACCCTGAAGGCTGAAGTTTTATGTTCCAAGTCTTTGCACCCAATGAATCAAAGCAAATTGAGAATGGGATAGCTCAGATGCAAAAACTACTTCCTTAGATTTTTTTCTGGTAAACAGATAAAACAGCTGAATTTGAAACTGAAGGTGGGTAATCATACCTATTAACCATTTAGTTAACCAAAACAGAATATAACCATGGATAATTTATCAAATAGATATTGAGGGTTCCATTATTAGAACTAATCTAACTTTTAGTTAAAGTTAAGACTTGCTGGGGTGGGGTAGGGTGAGAGGGAGTTGGGAGTTGTAGAATTCATTCATCACATCTATCATACATCTCACCATATGTAGTATCTTCCTGAAAATATGTTGTCATTTAACATTTAAGGCAGCCACATCAGGATTGTTCAGAGGCACCTGACCAGTCCTTCCGTCCCACAAACCAGTGCTAGTTCCATGGTACCTAGTGAAAGCAGGTAGATTGTCTGAGACTTATCATGGCTCTGTTTTAAATAATAAACATGCCTAATGTGAAACTTATTCCGCTGCAGTTTGTGTTCAGAAAAAATGCAATGAAGTTTAGTTGTTCTGGATGTAATTTGATTTATACTGCAGCAGGGTCAGAATAAAGCCCTGTTATAAAATCACATGGCTTATGAAGCTTATTTAACTATTTAGGCAGGGTTCCTCTGTTCCACAAATGGAATTTACAGCTGTTAATCTAGTTTAGCGTAGGTATTGGAATGAAGACTTTGCTGCCAGAAAAACAACAACCAACATTCCAATACTACGAATTTCAGTAGAGATCCCCCCCCAGGGTGGGAAGACTGAAAATAAATTGTGCCTGTCTAGTAGGATGCCAGATGAGCAATGTCTTTCCTCAATTTCTCTGATTCAAGTGTTTGGTTTCTTTACCTCTTCAAATGCTGTCATTTTCTTTTTGACTTGTAAGTATTTTCTCGAATACTTTTGTTGGAATAAGGGTTGGTCTAGAATGACTGTTGCTGGGAGGTGTTTTTATGCCATTGCCTGCGTGTATATAATAAGTCTTCTCCCAAATCTAGTGTCCTCTCTCTGTGCAGTACTTTACATTCCTCAGCTCCTGACTGGAATTATCTCTGACTTTTGGGGGGTTTAGTTTAAAGGAGATAATTTTCATGTAGTTTTCTGTTGCTGCCTCTGACTTCTTACAAACTGCCGTCCACAAGTGAGGAAGAACAGTCCGCCAGTCAACCCCTCTGAGGCTCCAGGGAACAGAGGTCCACTCCTGGATGTGTTTCAGGCTCTCTCAAACTCTGGTTCATTCAGTCTCTGTGCCTTGGAGGTGCTGTTTCCTTTTTTCTGCCTTGTTTTACACTGTGCTCTTTTGGCATTACCTGTAAGTGATATGCTCAGCCCGTCTGCACAGTGATATCAAATGAGATCTCTAGAATCTTTTGCCATATAATTTAAGATGTCATTAACTTCAGATTTTGCAGTACTGGATTCATGTCTAAAACCTGAGACTGAGCAGCAGCTTTGAGCTAGTTATTCACAAAACCACTGCTAACATACCAAAGCTT